GCTTCATCAAAGTGGATGGAGATTGGATTTCCAAAACTGAAGCTGAGATATCTGAAGATGAAGATGATGATGGAGAAGATTCTGAACATGTTGAAATTCCATCTTCTGAACATGGCTCTAAATCCCTTTAATATGATAAAACTCTCATTAATCGATTGATATGTTCTTAAGACTCAAAATTAACTATTAAAATTACATATTAATCAATTAAAAGTTGTTAAAATCAATTTTGTCATCATTTTAACTGATATATTTTTGAAATAATCGATTAAAACCACTTACGGTATGTACTTGTCACCATTTTAACCGATATACTTTCGAATTAATCGATTAAAAGCACTTACGAAGTTTTGGAAAACTTTACGCGAGTATTTTAACCGATACATCTTTGAATTAATCGATTAAAAACACTTAAGAAAGTTTTGGAAAATATTTTGACAGTATTTTAATCGATTAAAACTTGAATTAATCTATTAAAACCACTTGAGAAGTTTTAGAAAGTATTCTGCCACTATTTTAATCAATTAAAACTCAAATTAATCGATTAGAATCACTTACATATTTTTTGAAGATTTTCTATCATTATTTTAATCGATTAAAACACGAATTAACCAATTAAAATCACTTAAGAATTTTTTAGATAATTGTTTTAATCGATTAAAACATATTTTTATCAGCTAAAATAATTCTGGAAAATGAGATAGAACATTTTAATCGATTAAATGGTATTTTCATCACTTAAAAAACAGTTAGAATCAAGAATGATTAATCGATTAAAAGAATATTTAACCGATTAATTAAGACAGTTAGTTACAAAAGTCTCTATATAAACAAATTTTCTTGAGCTTTTTAAAACACACCTTTGAGAAATTATTCAAGCAATCATAGAGATCATTTCAAAGAGAGAAGTGAACAACTTTTACTGAGGATTTTCGAAGTTCCCTCTTGAGGCATTCTTGTGTTCTATCTAGAGAAGAAACTCAATTTGTAGTGGAATCTTTGCATCTGCATAATCGGGTTTGATTGTTCTAGTTTTTTCTTTATTTTTTTCAATTCATTTCTGTCTAAGTGCCTAGAAGATTGGGTACTGGTTTTGCAGTTGGAATTTGGTTGCAAGTTTGGTTCAAGAACTGGATTTTGATTCTTGGTGTAGGTTGATTGTTTTGTAATTTTGTTCTAATACTCAAAACAATTTCAATCTAGTCAAACTCAATTGGAATTTGGTTGAGAAGCGGACGTAACCCATTGATTTGGGTGAACCAGTATAATTATTAGTGTTTCTGTTTCTCCTTAAACTCTTTCTTTAATTTTTACATGATTTTCTTCAATTCTGTTTGTTAAGTTGGATTTAATACTTGATCAAAATTCAGAATCTTTGAAATTATTAATCTAAATATGTTGTCTGTGAAAAGTTTTTGAAAGATCAATTACCCCTCTTAATCTCAGCCTATATTTCTTACAAGAACAGATCCACGATCGATAACCATGCATTTCCTGCGCCCCAAATCGCACCTTCACGCTATCTCGTGGCCACAACCACTACACTTACCTTTGCAGTCAAAGTCCCCATCTTCGTGCCACCTCCATTACCAGGAGCCCCACCTCCGCAACAGGAAACCACCACGGTCACAACCAGCACACCACTATCCACAAGCAGACATTACACATTAACTCCAACACTACGAGTAACCATCATTCCGCCACCTCCGTTCGACGACACTGTCGACACTTACAACAACACTTACAACAACATGATCGGCGATAGTTCCCTTTTTTATTACATTTATTTTATTAATGTCATTAGGTTAGATCAAATTTAGGTTAAGTTATGGGCTTAAATTAGATAATGGTTGTTAGGTTTATTCGACTTTAGGAGTGGAAATAGAAAAAGGTTTCATATATACTAACATGAATATGAAAGCTTATTTTATTTGATGATGTTTTTTTTTTTTTAATTTGGAATCATTGTAACAAAAACAAATAGTAATTAATGTGAAAGTTTTTTTTATTTAAAATTTTAAATATTAAAAATATGATTCAAATTTTTTCCTTAAAGCAGAGTTAAATTAGTAGATCTAATAATAAATTGACAATTAAATTTTAATAATTATTATTTTCTCTCCTTAAATATTAAAATATTATTTTATAGAATTATTAAATATGTAATATTATTTTATAGAATTATTAAATATGTAATATTATTTTAATTAATTAGAGTTGTAAATTTTAGAAAAATTAATCACTTTTAATTTACTTCTAATTTGGTTATCATAAAATTATAATAATCTACTCAAATATATTTTTATTTGATTATAATAAAATATTTATTTTAAAATATTTAAATCTACATATAAATGTTAAATTTAATAATTTAAAACATTTGACGTTAATAATTACTTTAAATGCACTTATAATTTAATTATTATTTAAATTATAAAAATATAGATGTACTCTTAATTTGATTATCATATAATTATTTAATTTTAAGCATATTTTTAATTTAGTAACACAAATAGATAAATAAAAATAAATGCACCAATATTTTTCTATAAAGAATTATATGACTTTGATTCTCCATTATACTTAAAGATATAGTTGAGAGATAATCTATATTGAATAAAAAAAAATTAAAAATATATTATTATATTTTTTAAAATATTTAATTTTAAAAACTATAATTGTATGATAAAATATTATTTTAATTTATAGATGTAAAATAAATAATTTTAAGATATTTGATTTTTTCACATCTAATTACAACTAATTATTTTAAAACAAATTTTATAGGATATTAATACTTTCTTACAAATAATCTAATGTAGAATTAACTTTTTATTTCATATATTACTTTTTTTTGTAAATTTATATTTTTTTTAAATAAATATTAATAACGACTATAATATTTTTTTATTTAGTCGCGATTTTGGGATTTTGTTACAATTATATTTTCATCCAAACCAGGTGGACATAGTAACTTCTGCACAATGGAGCACCTCTCACCTCCTCTTCAACCAAACAGAACCTAAAAGTTAAAAATTTCAGAGGTTGCTGATTTTTGGAATATGCATATAAGTACAACATTCCAATTATTGATTGTGATTAATCGTCATAGAAATATTAAAAACTACTTTATTTATTTATTTATATAATAATATAATATAAGTCATCATTTGAACTTTTTAATACGTTCAAGGACGTGGGTTTGTATACTCAAATCACCCACTTATTAGTCACTAGTGCAAAAAAGGCATTTTATGTCGGTTAAAATGAGCTTTTTACGTCGGTTAAAGAGGCGACATAGATACGGGGGTCATAGAAAGTATGACTTTTTACGTCGGTTGTGATGAACCGTCATAGAAAGTAATGGAGTTTTTACAAAAATTGTCATTGGTAGAATTCGAACCCAAGTACATTAGAGTCTAGAATTAGACCAACCAACCACTACACTAGTACGATTTTTATTTATTTATTCATATTATATTTTTATTATACTTTATAATATATTATTTTATTATCTCGTTTAAGAGATTTGTGTCTAACAAGATTCAAACCCGAGTACCTTAGAGTTGGAGACCGATACTCCAACCACTAAACTACTACAAATTTTTTATACATAACTTACAAATAAATTATATTTATATACAAAATATATAAATACAAATATATTTATATATTTTGATATATAAATATTTATATACTTATATATTTAATTTTTTTTATTTAATATACACTTTTTATGTCGGTTAAATTTCAACCGAGCATAGAAAGTACTTTTTATGTCGGTTAAAAATTTAACCGACATAAAAAGTACTTTCTATGTCGATTAAAATTTAACCGACATAAAAGTTCACTTTCTATGTCGGGTAAAACTTAACCGACATAGAAAGTTCACTTTCTATGTCGGGTAAATTATAGCAGACATAGAAAGTTCACTTTCTATGTCGGGCAAATTTTAACCGACATAGAAAGTGAACTTTCCACTTACTATGTCGGTTAAAATTTACCCGACATAGAAAGTTTATGATTTAATTACAAAATTGTCACCGCGCTACATACTATGACGGGTGGACTACGGCCAGTGATAAAAACTCGTCATAGAATGTTATTTTTCCACTAGTGAGTTTTGGAGTTAGTGAATGATTTTGTAGTAAATTTGTTTTTATTTGATAAAAGAAAAAAATATTTCAAAACTCTATCACGAACATGGTAGAAACCAAAAATACATAAAACTTTTTGTAATTACTAATATTATATATTAACCAAAATTAAAAATGAAAATAAAATTCCCATCACTAGATAAGTTATTTAACATTTCGTGCATAGATAGAGTCCACATTGCTTGGTCCATGTGCCCAGCTTCTACTTTTAGAATTTCTTTACTCTTCAAAATATAAGCTATACAAGAAAAAGATATTGATAATTCAGAAATTCATTTAACAACTTCATTTATTAATAAAATAATAATTTTTAATTAATTTTATTTAAAATTAATCACTTTATAAATATAATATTAATCAATAAAATTGTATAAGATATGCTGTTGTCATTTTTTATGTCAAAATATCACTCTAAGCTATATATGACAAACCTTCAAGGTGAGATTTTTCCATTTCTTTTAATCTTTCAGTTTGAAGCTTTGTGAAAGAAAGGTGGGTGGGGCCTCTTGCTATTGCTACTTTATTACTATCTAACTAAGATGATCGCATCACATTTTTCCATTCTGTTGGGTAGGTAGCTCTACGTTTGACTTCATATGTTATGATTTTGGTAAGAGTGAATAAAATATAAGTCAGCAGCACGAGCCTTGAATTATTATTATGGAGCAGCTTAGAGGGTTTGATTATCTGAAAGCATATTCTTAACAAATTACAGTTGCACATTTGTTGGGGAGCGTTATACTTGCCACCATCCACCTCAACATCGTCCAAATTGCCATTATATATATATATACATGTTATGTGACCATATTCAATATTATATACCGCAACACAAATTAAACCATGACAACTTCCTCGCTTATAGGTTTACAAGATCATGAAAAAGTTTACCAAGATTTTGAACTCGATGTCGAAGAGGATCTGTTTGAGATCGACCTTGAGGCTGTGACCTGCGTTTCACCACCTTGTTTCTGGGAAAGTTGCTACACTTCCACAGGGAACATTGCACTCTTGGCCAATTGTTTGTTACCAAAATCTGATGTCTCAAGTGCTGTTCCAGCAGTGTCTTCTGCAGGGAAGACCAATGCTGTGTTGATTACAGAGGCCACATCATTGGGGGAGTATCTTAGACTACCCTTCTTGGGGGTTATTCACCAGAAAATGGAAGCGCAGTTTCATTTCCAGTTCCAGAGTTAGTGACTCGTAATATCTGATTACACAATTTTATATCAGTTGGGATTTTAATTACATGGTAATTGTGTTATCGATGAAATCAATGTACAAGTACTTGTACCACCCGTGGCTTCTTTTCTTGTTGTGTTTGTTTCCTTTTACGATCATCATCATTATCTTTCACTTTATATATTTACGGAGATCAGCCAATCAGGATTTCACCACAAGAAAAACTACTTTTAGCGACCAAAATTTTTCAGTCGCTATTAGCAACCGATTTAGCGACCGAATTACATTGGTAGTAATTTAGCAACCGATTTAGAGACCGATTTAATTCGGTCGCAATTAGCGACCGATTTTGCCACCGAAACATGATTTGGTTTCACTTTTTTATTTAGCGACCGAAATAGCGACCAATAATTTGTGTAGCAAAATTTCGGTCACTAAATCGGTGGCTATTCCAAATTAAAATAAAGAAAATTATTTAGCGGTTGATTTAGCGACCAAATTACAAATTAAAATAGTGACCAACTTGAAATCGGTCCCTAATAAAAAATAGCGACCGAATTAAAATCGGTCGCTAAAAAACATTATTTTTTATTATATTTAAATTAATTTTTTTATAAATATATTTTAATTGTTTTAGTATATTTTTTACAATTTATTTTTTAAAAATAATATAATTTTTAAAAGTAATTTATTTTTAAAAATATATTTTAAAAATAAACTTTGGTCTTATAATGTTAACAAAATGAAGATTAACTTTAATTTTAAATTACCAAAATAAAAATATTATTAAAAATAAATCAAATTTATTAAAAAATTAAATTGTAATAAATTAATATGGCAGTGATATTAATTATTCAATGTTTAAGAAAAGTTTAATACCAAATATCCTTTAATATATTTTAAAAATTTATATTAAAAAAATTGAACACATCAAATTATCATATTTTAATTTCTCATTAACTTAATTAATTAAAAAAATTACAATTTCAATCAAAATTATTACAATTTAATTTTATAATACTTTATTTTTAATCTATTTTTTAAATTTATTGTTTTATTATTATTAATTGATTAACCATGGTTGTTTTCATATAATTGATATACCAAAAAAATTTATATCAAAATATAATTTATATACATTAGATAATAAATATATTATATAATTAAATTATTTATAAAAATATAATTATCTTTAATTGAAATATTTTTTACTTTAAGTATATGAAATATTTTATGCAGTAACACATATTCATTTTTTAATTACTCAAATAACATAATGTAGGTTTTACCTACCTAGCACAATTTTTTTTAAGTTGCGAGTTTGATTCTTTCATACACGAAACCCGAACGTGATTGTATATTATTTATTTTTCAAACCATTTAGAATTCGGTTTTCCGTAATCAAATTCTGAATTGATTTTCTCTCTTTTTTTTTGAATTTTTTTGTTTATTTTGTTAAGAAAGAAAAGCTAATATATATATATATATATATATATATATATATATATATATATATATATATATATTATAATATTTTATTTAAAATTTATAGTTTTAAATTATAATTTTAAAAAAATTTATATATTTCTTAAATTAATAATATATTTAGATTTATTGTTAAAAGTATTAAAATAATACTTTTAAATATATTATTAAATATTATATTTATATATTATTTGTATGGTTAACTTTTTAATTTTTTAATTTATTTGATAGTGTAATAATTTTTTTAGAAATTAATAATAAATTAGGAGGATAATAAAATTCTTAAAAATTATATGTATACAAAATAAAAAAAATACTTTTATGTAAAATTATGTTTTTAAATGTATTTTTATTTATTTATTTTGTAATATTTTAAAATATATATATCAAAATATAACTTATTCATTTCTAATATATATATATATATATATATATATATATATATATATATATATATATTAGAAATGAAAATAAGTTATATTTTGGAATATATATATATATATATATATATATATATATATATATTAATTCTAACTATAATTTATTTTTAAGTCAAAAAATATTATTTTAATTTATGAAATATATATATATATATATATATATATATATAATTAATTTAAAGTTTATACATGTAATTTTATGTAATATATATATATATATATATATATATATATAATTATAATTATAATTTATATAATATATATCATTTATTTAAAATAAAAATAGTTATATTTTTATTAATTTTTTTAGGTTATAATTTTAAATATAATTTTTTTAACTTTATAATTATAATTTATATAATATATATAATTTTTAAATAATTATATATATAATTAATTTAAAGTTTATACATGTAATTTTAATTTATGTAATATATATATATATATATATATATATATATATATAATTCTAATTTATATAATATATATCATTTATTTAACATAAAAATATTTATATTTTTATTAATAATTATAATGTTTTTAAGGTTATAATTTTAAATATAATTTTTTAAGTTTATAATTATAATTTATAAAATATATATAATTTATACATAATTATATTTTTAAATTTTAATTTCATATATATTTTTATTTATAATTATTTAATGTATATTTCAAAAATTAATCTATTATAATTGATTATTTATTAATCAAATATTTGGAAAACTAATTGTAAAACTAATCTATTAGTTTTTTAAATATACATTAAATAAAACAAAAACAATATATATATAATAATAATAATCTTATAACGTTTATTTATAATTTATAATTTTAAATTATAATGTTAAAAAGATTTATATATTTATTATATTAATAATATATATAGATTTATTGTTGAAAGTAGGAAAATAATATTTTTAAAATATATTATTAAATATTATATTTATGTTTTTTTTGTATGATTAAATTTTGTTAATTCTTTGATTTATTTGATATTGTAATATTTTTTTTAGAAGTTAATAATAAATTAGAAGGATAATCAAAATTTTAAAAATTATATGTATATAAGATAAAATCATATTTTGATATAAAATTATATTTTTAAAATGTATTTTTTGTGTGTTTTGTAATATTATGAAAATATATATATATATATATATATATTTCTATATTATAATTCTTAACATAATTTATTTTTATGTTGATAATTATTATTTTAATTTATGCAATATTTATATATATATATATATATATATATATATATATATATAATTAATATGAAATTCATATATAATTTTAATTTATGTAATATATACATATATAATTATAATGTATATAATATATATAATTCACTTAAAATTAAAAATAGTTATATTTTTATTAATTTTATAATTATAATTTTTTTAACATTATAATTCTAAATATAATTTTTTTTAACTTTATAATTATAATTTATACAATATATATAATTTACTTAACATTAAAAATAGTTATATTTTTGTTAATTTTATAATTATAATTTTTTTAACATTATAATTCTAAATATAATTGTTTTAACTTTATAATTATAATTTATATAATATATATAATTTATAAATAATTATTTTTTAAATTTAAATTTAATAATATTTTTATTTATAATTATTTAATGTATATTTAAAAAATTAATCGATTATTTAAAAAAGTAATCGATTATTTAAAAAATGAATGGATTAGAGTAATTAAATAAAACAAAAAATATATATATATATATATATATATATAATATTATAATTTTTATTTATAATTTATAATTTTAAATTATAATGTAAAAAAATTTATATATTTATTATATTAATAATATATATAGATTTATTGTTGAAAGTAGGAAAATAATATTTTTAAAATATATTATTAAATATTATATTTATGTTTTATTTGTATGATTAAATTTTGTTAATTCTTTGATTTATTTGATATTGTAATATTTTTTTAGAAGTTAATAATAAATTAGAAGAATAAATATTTTAAAAATTATATGTATATAAGATAAAATTATATTTTGATATAAAATTATATTTTTAAAATGTATTTTTTTTGTGTTTTGTAATATTATGAAATATATATATATATATATATATATATATATATATATTATAATTCTTAATATAATTTATTTTTATGTTGATAATTATTATTTTAATTTATGCAAAATATTTATATATATATATATATAATTAATTTGAAATTCATATATAATTTTAATTTATGTTATATATATATATATATATATATATATATATAATTATAATGTATATAATATATATAATTTACTTAACATTAAAAATAGTTATATTTTTATTCATTTTATAATTATAATTTTTTTAACATTATAATTCTAAATATAATTTTTTAAACTTTATAATTATAATTTATACAATATATATAATTTACTTAACATTAAAAATAGTTATATTTTTGTTAATTTTATAATTATAATTTTTTTAACATTATAATTCTAAATATAATTGTTTTAACTTTATAATTATAATTTATACAATATATATAATTTATAAATAATTATTTTTTAAATTTTAATTTAATATATATTTTTATTTATAATTATTTAATGCATATTTAAAAAATTAATCGATTATTTAAAAAATTAATCGGTTATTTAAAAAATGAATCGATAGTAATTAAAAAAATAATCGATTAGTTTTTCAAATATACATTGAATAAAACAAAATATATATATATATATATATAATTATAATATTTTATTTAAAATTTATAATTTTAAATTACATTTTTAAAAATATTTTTATATTTATTAGATTAATAATATATTTAGATTTATTGTTGAAAATAGTAAAATAATATTTTTAAAATATATTATTAAATCGATGATTATAGGTAGTAAATTTATAAGTTTGATTGTTTAGGAGAGATCAATTATAATTGATATATAATTTAAAAAAAAGATGAATTGGAGATAATTAATCTAACCATCTTATTTTATCACGAGATTAAAACATTCCGTAGACAATTTTTTTTTTAATTATTTAAAGTAGGCAATATTTTATCACGAGATTAAAACACTCCGTA